CCCTGCCTGGGATGGCCTCTCCCACTGTGGTGTTCAACTCAGGGCTCGCAGGTAAAACAGCCGTGCCTCTCCTCGGTGCGCCGCGCAGTGCCGGGAAAGTCAGCAAAGCAAGGGCAGGGCACCGGGGTGGGACTTCACCACTTAGTCACCTAAATAAAGCCCTTTCTCTCCTCTTGATATTACGCTTGGAGGGATTTTATAGAAGAAAAGAGCGCTTATCAACCAGATGCATGTGGTTCGGTCTGGAAGAGGTGGCTTCCTCAGTAAAACAAAAGCATAGCCGTTGCGCTTTTTCAAGCGTGATCATTTTTTTTGCTTTAAACAAGCAAAATACGGTTTTGGTTTCTTCTATGAACTCTATGAAGAAATATCTGTGCAAATAATGGCAAGCTTTTTGTAATTTTTCTGGAAGGAAGAAAACTGTACTGACTGTCTTTAATCATGTTTTTGTGCGCTCTCTGACATATGGCAAGCAAGTAAATGCTAATTGGTATCGCGCTGCTCCCTCCGAGGAAATCTCAAGAGCTTGATACGAGTCCAGAAAGAGAGACTGAGGAGCTCTGATTAGCAGCTTCTTTTTTTTTTTGGTGAAAACTGATTTAAGTATTCCAGCCTTTAAACTTGCCTCTGAAAGCACAAGGCGTCACAGAACTAGAGGGTCCTGGGGCGTAGCAGAAGAAAACGAACCGAGCACAAAAGGTGTGGCTGAGGTTTGGGTCCTGTCCGGCCGCTGAGGTGCTTCAGCAAGATGCCTAAAGCCAGGAGAGGGTGGAGAATCTGTTCCTCAGTGGGTTAGGAGAGAGAAAGAGACTGAAATCGCCTTTTCTCGCTAGGACAGCCACGCAGGCAGGAGTGTTTCTCAGGGCAGGAACCTTCTGGGTCAGAGGGGAGTCAGTGAAATAACAACTTTTGCTTTTCCGACCATGGCTAATGTTATTTTATTATTTTTTTCTCTCTCTCTGTTCTTTCTGCTTCCTGGTAAGATGGGCCAATCAAGCTCTTCTGTAGGTTGCTTTCTGCTAAGTATTTCCCTCCCTCTCCGCGTTTCCCTCCGTGCTGTGCCCGCGCGCGTGCCTGGGAACTTGCGGGAGAGATGGGGGGGTTGCTGCGAGGGCCGGAGCGCGCGGTGGCTTCGGGGATGCTGCTGGCTGTCGGGATTTGGCACCCAGTGGGGCCCCAATTCAGCAAAGCACTTGAGCAAGTCATTAAGACGTGCAGTTTCTTCTTGAGTCGCGCTCTCATGCCGAGGATGACTCTGCGGGGGCTGGTCCCCCATGGCCTTGCCCGGACTCTGTGATGGAGGAGGAAGGGAAATTTTTAAGAGATTTTGATTCAGTTACATCAGGAAGCCCCCCATGAAGCAGTTTGCTTCCTTTCCTGTCCTGAAATAACCCAGGAGCAGTTAATAATCTATTCTAATGTATGCACAAGTAGAAAACATGGGGTTTTGCTATGTTTTTTTTTTATGGGTGTTTCAGATGGTGAAAGCTATTTTTGAATTTATTTTAGGAATTATTTTGGAATTTATTTTAGGAATTATTTTTGAATTTATTTTAGGAATTATTTTTGAATTTATTTTAGGAATTGTTTTTGAAGCAACCACACTAATTAAGCAGAGAGTAAAACTCCGTTCAGCTGAGATGAGCAGAAGTTGATCACGTGTGTTCATGTCTTCCAGTTGGCTAAATATAAATACTGATATATAATTCTCAAAATACACAGCGGAACGTTGTGTGTATTCCCTGCTATTCACTTACGGTTCTTTGGTTCAAGCCAATACTCTCGCCAGAAATTTATTCTTTGTGATGTCCCCACGAAACGAGCCTGAGCGTGAAAGGGACATGGACACACAACTTGATTCTTGTTTTAGATGTGGAATGGCAGAGCAAGAGGAATGTTTGTAACATTCTCCCAGCTCTGGTGCCCAGGCAGACTGTCCCGTGAAACGGGTCATCTCTGTCCTGGCAAAAGCATCGTTACAGGAAAGTAAAATAATTGCTCAAGTGCTTTGCAACCTGGGAACCCAACTGTCGTCTGAAACGGTGGCAAAAAAGCCCGAGGATCTCGACAGAGCATCAAATATTTAGCAAGATTTCTCCTGCCACGAGTGCAGGATGGGCAGGAGCAAGCAGCAAACGCTGGCCTGAGCCAAACCCACGCATGGTCCGTCCTGGGCTGGGGGAGCGGGGAACCTGCATGGGCTGCCCCGGCCGCCGCAGGAGGAACGGCTCTTTTCTCCAGCACTGGAGAAGAAGGAGCGGGTTTCTGTTTCATGTTTGGAAAGAAACACTTCATTTTCTAAGTAATTCAGGAGCAAAACGCTGATGGATCATCCTGGTTTTGTAGTGACTTCTTAACAGCTAACGTCACAATACAAAGACATGGGAACTGAATTAAAGAAATTATTTGGGTACTGTCCAGAACAGGGATAGGAAAGTGGTGTTTTCCTTGCTCTTTCACACTCTGGTCACGCATTACTGAGAGCGGTCAGTCTTCGTTTTCGTAGCTTCTCTGTGTAAGTTACTAAATCCATTTACTGGTTCTGCACAGCGCAGGGAAGTTAAACCTGTTACTTCAACCATGTTAATGCTGCAGCCCACCCCCTTCTGCTTTAAAAGACAAACTTGTTGAGAAGCAGCACTGGCCTCCTGCAGCAGGGCCACTCCCTATACCAAAACCTTGGGAAAAAGTTGTTTTTTTTTTCTTCAGTGAAGTTTTCACAGCTCTGGCATTGAGTCCAGGTCTGCAGGGGAAAGCCTCTTGATGCTGTTGGCCTCTGGAGGCAGCAAGGTCTTTCCAGGCTTCCTAGTGTGATAATTTGGCCGGTTCTTCCTCCGGTGCTGAAAGGCCGAATCGAAGCTGCTGTGAGGGCGCGCGGGGTGGTTTTCAGCGGTTGGGGAATTTGTCATTTCCTTTCCCTTGGTGTTTTTTTCAGCTGTGAAAATCAAGAAACCGATCAAGACCAAGTTCCGCATGCCCGTGTTCAACTGGGTCGCCCTCAAACCCAACCAGATCAATGGGACAGTCTTCAACGAAATCGATGACGAAAGGATCCTGGAGGTATGAGCACTGCTCACTGCCTTCCATTCTGTCTGGATATCGGTTGTTGCAGGGGTACACCAATAAATCATTTTCTTTCCTTTTTAGGATTTAAACGTGGATGAGTTTGAAGAAATATTCAAGACGAAAGCGCAAGGTCCAGCCATCGATCTTACTTCAAGCAAGCAAAAGATAACACAGAAAGGGTCAAACAAAGTGACATTGCTGGATGCCAACAGGGCCAAAAATCTTGCCATCACTTTAAGAAAAGCTGGAAAGACGGCGGATGAAATCTGCAAAGCTATTCATGTGTAAGTAAAACACTTCTTTGCAAGGAAATCGTGTCTAAGACTTACGGTGTTTTTTGGTAAGTGCAATAGTTTGGACCTGGCAGTTGATGTAAATGCTTTTGCCTCTGGAAAAAATCCAGGAGTAAGGATGGAACCGTTCTGCATTTCCAGGAATGGGATCCCCTTAAACTAAAATAAAAAAACTTGCAGTTTTATGTAGATTTATCACTATTTACGCTTAAAAAATGAACACTTCCTTTATTAGAGGCTAATTCGAGTATATCCCCAGCATGCCGTCACTTACTGCATGCCTCATTCTGCTTGCACAGCACCTTTGTTACCGTGAACACCAGAGTATCAGGAAGAGGCGACTATTGTAAATCGCTCCATAAAGCAAAACTTCAGTCCAAGTGCGCTCCCCACCTGTCTTCTCTGATGAAAACAAGGTGTAGCCATGGGAGGGTAGGGGGGAACACGAACAGAGTGCCCAGCAGCACTGCTCACATCAGCACGGTGACCTTGTTCAGGTCTTCGTGTGCTCAGAGCTTCACAGGCAGGACCGTGCCCCCCACCCCAGCCAGGGCAATGAGAGCAGGAGTAGCTTCACAGCTTCTTTGTGGCTTCTCGTTGCTTTACTGGCTCAAGCTGCAGCTGAGCAGCACCAGAGACAGAGCTGCCGTCAGCAGCTTTCTTGCTTGTTTTGTTCAGGTTGGATATTAGGAAGAATTCCTTTACTGAAAGGCGTTGGAACAGGCTGCCCCGGGGGGGGGGTTGGTTGCCATCCCTGGAGGGGCTTAAGAGATGGGTGGGTGTTGTGCTGAGGGACGTGGGTTAATGGTGTTGATAGGGCTGGGACAAAGCTTGGACTTGGTGGTCTTGAAGGTCCCTTCCAACCGAAACTGATTCTCTGATTTTGTGTGGAGCCGTGACACCACTTCTTCCCCTTTGTTACCCGCACAGATTTGACCTAAAAACATTGCCGGTGGATTTTGTTGAGTGCCTCATGCGGTTCCTGCCCACGGAGAACGAAGTGAAAGTTCTGCGGCTCTACGAGCGGGAGAGGAAACCCATCGAGAACCTGTCCGACGAAGACCGCTTCATGATGCAGTTCAGCAAGATCGAGAGGCTGATGCAGAAGATGACCATCATGGCCTTTATAGGCAACTTTGCAGAAAGCATCCAGATGCTGACCCCAGTGAGTGAGGGACAGCCCCTGGGAGCTGTGGGGCACTCAGTGACGGTTATCGCGATGTGAATTTTTCGAAGACAGATGCTTTGAGTGTTGTGGGCTGACGGTTGCTTCTCACAGAGACAGAACAAGAAACAATTACACGAATGAAGGAGTGGTTTCCAAGCTGTATTTTCATATGCCCGTAACTGATATCCCCAGGTGCTGTTTGAGCCCCGGGCTGCTCCAGTACTGTCCTGTTTCTTTACCCTGTAGAAGTTAAAAAACAGTTTAAATGAATATCTGGTTGTTCGTATCATCGGGGAAAGGTGTTATAGGTGCAGGCCCGCGAGCTCTTTGAAGTTTGTCCCGTTCAACCTGATGCATCTTTCACAGTCATAAGGCTCAAGATGTAAATACACTTTTACCCGGCCACAGCGGAGGGTGGTAAAATTGTGGTGCGGATGAATTGCTTGAAATCCTGATGTGGCAGGGCAGGATAATGTTCAGGCTGGGGCTCACGGTGTGGATTAAAAGCAAGAGATTTTTTTTTTTTCAGAATGTGAGCGTTTAGATTTTAATTTTACTCTCAGGTTGGATGTGCACTAATCAAAGCTCTTCCTGTGTTTACCTGCAGCAACTTCACGCAATAATAGCTGCGTCAGTCTCAATAAAGTCATCGCAGAAGTTAAAGAAAATACTGGAGGTGGGTTTGATTTTAGATACAGTCAATAGCTCTGTCGCTCTGTGGCACATCCACTTACATGTGCTGAAACCGTGCGTGGATGCTGACACACCAGCTCACCTTCCCGAGGCTTCTCAAGTGCACTTGTCCCGAAAACTCACACTCTCCTCTCCTTCACCCCGGCAGATAATCCTGGCTCTGGGAAACTACATGAACAGCAGTAAACGAGGAGCTGTGTATGGATTTAAGCTGCAGAGTTTAGACCTGGTGAGTAAACTGGAGGTGCCTCACGGGGAGCGGGTGGGAACGCGTTTCACGAAGCAAAACCTCTTTGCTTATTCTCATTGGTGTGTGACTTCAGAGGTTCTGCAAGACCACGGCTTGAAAGCCACCTGCTACAGGATGGAATGAGCTTTTCACAGCCATCCCTATCAGATGCAGAAGCACCAGCTGAGTCGCTTCTCTTGGAGCCCGCTGCACCTTCCTCCCTTTGCAACCTCTTTGCCTTCTCTCCTCAGCTCCTAGAGACAAAGTCGACAGATCGAAAGCAGACCCTGCTGCACTACATTTCAAACGTGGTCAAGGAGAAGTACCAGCACGTGTCTCTCTTTTACAACGAGCTTCATTACGTGGAGAAGGCTGCTGCAGGTAACATTCCCACCCCGTGCCTGGCCAGCAGTGCCGTGCGAGGGGTTTCACACCACACGTGGGCTGTCGGGGCTCTTCTTGGTGGGGAATCATTCAAGCTGTGGGTTCAGCACTTTTGTTTTATTCCCCAGTGTCTCTCGAAAACGTCCTCTTGGATGTGAAGGAGCTGCAGAGGGGCCTGGATCTGACAAAGCGCGAGTACACCATGCACGACCACAACACGATGCTGAAGGAGTTCATTCAGAACAATGAGGGGAAGCTCAAGAAACTGCAGGACGATGCCAAAATAGCCCAGGTATTATTTTTTTGTTCACCTGGTTTGATAAGAGGAGAGGGAGTGACACAGTGGTTTCCCACGTGGAGGAGATCTAGACCCTTTCCACTGAATACTGCAGAAATGGATGGCGAGTCCGTCGTGGAATAGATGCAATGCAGTGAATCTCTGCTTTTTGTAGGACGCCTTTGATGATGCTGTGAAGTACTTTGGGGAGAACCCCAAGACGACACCTCCCTCGGTCTTTTTCCCAGTGTTTGTCCGGTTTGTGAAGGCCTACAAGGTAAACAAGAGCATCTGCCTCTTCTCTGTCCTTCAGAACCCAATTTCATAGCCATGCGGCTCAGGGCTCCCAACAGAACGGCTTGTGGCTCCCTCTAGCTTTGACAGGATCTGATGTTTTGGGACTAGGGGAGAGTGGTTTGTGTGATCTAGGAAGGTCTTTCCCAGCCCAGTATTTTTCAGCCCCATAGTAGCAAGTGATAGTTTTACTCACTTGTAATTTTTAGGTTCCCTTTAGCAATTGGAAGCTATAACCTGTGGGATTTTTTGTGTTTGGTTGTGGTTTTTTTTGTAATAAATAGCAAGCAGAAGAAGAGAATGAATTGAGAAAAAAGCAAGAACAGGCCTTAATGGAAAAACTTATGGAGCAAGAAGCATTGATGGAGCAACAAGACCAAAAGGTATGAAGCTGATCGATCTTTCGGGCAGGAGCCACCATGTTCTTATGTTTTTCCTGATAATTCCAAAACCTCGACTCTATAAGAACTTCAGTTGCCCAACTTAGAGTTGCTTCTCTAGAAGTTTTCTCCTTATGTGGAGAGAACTGAAAGAGTTTGAAGTCCACAAAATGAAGAAAAACTGAATAGACAGAAGCCATCTGGTCTGCATTGCCATTAGCTTAAGTGTTGTTCTTCCCTGGCCTTGTGTCTGTTAAAACTCTGCCGGTGTCGAGCGTGCAGAGCTTCCTGTCGCTTGCAGGCACAAAGTGTGATCCTCCCCAGATCCTTCCCTGTCAGAGCGCGGCAGCAGGGCTGAGCCCCACGATACCATTTTTTAGGTATTTTCTTCATGGGGTTTTATTTTCTGAGGTTGACTGGAGGAAGTTTCCCATCGCTCCAAGCCAACTGCTTGGTCAGCCGGTGCTGCCTCCTGCAGCCGCTCTCGGGCTCTTTAATCCCAGCCCAGCTTTTCCTCTCGGAAGCAAAACCTGTTTCACATTCAGGGGGAGAGAAATGGGAGAGCTGGGGGTCAGTCCTTACAAATCTCTCTGCTTTGCGTTCAGTCCCCTTCGCATAAAACAAAGAGGCAGCAGCAGGAGCTGATCGCGGAGCTCCGGCGGCGGCAGGTCAAGGATAACAGGCACGTGTACGAAGGGAAGGACGGTGCTATCGAAGATATTATAACAGGTAAACACCTTCTGTTCTGTAATCTCAGAGGCCCTCACGCAAAGGATAAAAATATGTATCTGCCTAGTAGCTTGGCGTGCTTCTTAAAGAAGTATTACTTGAGCTCAGGATGCTGCTTATATGACATGAATCAAGCACAGAAATTTTTGCTGGTGGTAGAGAGCAAACAAACCCCAGGGACCTGCCCTGACACATCCGCTGCGGTGGGCACATGCCTCGGGCACGCGCTTGGTTTCTTAGTTTTTCTCTTCCAGCATGTGGGGTCGTACTCGCTCTCTGATCTTTAGAGCAGCCAGTTCAGTGCCTGATCTCAGCAGAGGCTCCGGTGGGGATGCGCATGCTGTGCGGATCTTCCCCAGAAACCTTTTCCCCAGGTGCTTAACGTTTTTAAGAGGCTACATTTGTGTTCAGATGTACTAATGGCAGTTGCACCACGTCACTGCACAGTTACAGCAAAGCATTTAGTCAAACCTGAGTGATTTATGACCCTAAACTGCTTCTGGTTTTGCTGCCGCTCAGATCGAGGGGCAAAGCCTGCACCGATCCCAGTCTGGGGCCGGAGGGAGAGGCGCAGAGCCCACCGCCATAGCCACACACGGTCACGACCTCGGTGCAAATATTTGCTGATAAAAATGAGCCAGCCGCCTCCTAAACTGCGTTTTGCTCAGGAGTCAAATCATTTTTACTCTGTGCAGCTGCTCTGATGGCAGTACTTTGATTTGACTGCACGTCCTTCACCTGCAGTGTGGAAGGATTTTAACGCTTCGATGGCTTTACAGTAGTCCGTTTCTGTTGCGCAGAAGCTCAAAAAAAAGGGCAGGGTTTCCGTGGCTGCTGCTCCTGAATGTTTTTCGTATGAGTTTTTCCTGCAGGAGGGCAGGAGAGCGATTTCACCACTCACTAAGGAAAGCCAGGGGATTTTTGCCCAACTAGATTACAGGGTTGAAACGCTCGAAGCTTTCACAACTCTTTTTTAACCTCGATTAATAGCTTCCTAAGATGATGTTCTTTTATTATTGGCTATACTATCTGATCTTTTAACTGTTTCTACAACTCCTTCAGACTCCTGGAAGCATTGTTTAGTCAGTAAAGGGGTTCTTCTGCTCTGTGGGAGAAACAGATTGTGTGGTGGAACACCATCCTCGTGCAAAGTTGCAAATTAAACATTAGCCATAGTCTTCTGCCTGATGGTTCCCGTTGCAAGGGTGTCTCCAAGGGCCTCAGGCCATGTAACGATAAAGGTTAGACACAGAAAGTTTAGGTAGGACCGAAGTCACTCGAACGTGACCTGCAAGAAGCCTCCTGTCAGTGGCTCTGAAACTCTGGAGAGCTATTGTAAATTGGGTGGAGCACAGGAGAGCTCTGCTGGTCCGGAGCGGGGCGTTGCTTAACAACAGCCCCTTTCACAGGGCGTGTTTAGCGAGAATCATAGAACCATAGAGTTGTCAGAGTTGGAAGGGACCTCAGAGATCGTCTAGTTCCAACCCCTCTGCCATGGCAGAAACATCTCCCACCAGCTCAGGCTGCTCCAGGCTCCATCCAGCCTGGCCTTGGACACTTCCAAGGATGGAGCATCCACAGCTCCCTGGGCAACCTGTGCCAGTGCCTCAGCACCCTCAGGGGGAAGAACTTCTTCCTCAGATCTAGGCTAAACCTACTCAAACCCACTGAAAATGATATTCTCAAAGAAACGCTCATTCCAAGACTTAGCGAGGGCGGCCTGGTTGCCGACGCCTGCTGAGGTGTGGTGCGGCCAGGCGGTGGGTCAGCACGCGTGAAGCCGTCCCCGGGCGCGGGGGACGGAGCACTAACTCTGTACTAATGCCATCGCTGCTTCTCACGGCTCTGTTTGTCTGTTTGGCTGTTATTCCCATGCAGTGCTGAAGACTGTGCCCTTTACCGCTCGAACGGCCAAGCGGGGCTCTCGGTTTTTCTGCGAACCTGTTCTCACTGAGGAATTCCATTACTAAACTATTCCTCTTTCACATCTGATGCTCTTAGAAAAAGAAAGGTTGCTGTAGAACTTTTTTTTTTTTTTTAACTTCTCCATCTGTATGGATCTCAGCCAGGATCATGTGAATGTTGAGTGTATAGTAACGTCCGGCGTCCACCCGAAGTCGTATTTTCGTCACCTCTGTCGCATGTTCTTGTGTTTCAGTAACTTTTTATCCCATCCCATCGACTTTGCGCTTGATGCCTTTGGCCACCCTCGCGCCCCAAAGGCATCTCTCATTCCCCACCCCGACAAATGCCATAGAACAGCGAGCGGTGGGAGTCACGGCAGATTCGGTGCGGAGTCCCTCCGAGTTGCAAGAGCTCAGGAGATCAAACGCAGCCGTGAAGTGACAGCTCACTTGGCTTTTCTATGTCATCTCTCACTCTCCGTGTAAAACCCATGTGTCACACCAGCTGTGTGCCAACGCAAACCACGGGCTGCATGAGCTAGCCGGGGCTTCCTTGGGGTTTTCTTTGTGGAAGGGTCGTCTCTAACAACGTTACGTCCTCTGTGAGGAGTCGTGTTTTCTCTTTAGACGTTCTAACCAGCACCTTGCATGTCTGTCTGCATGGGAGATACCGGGGTGAAATGAACAGCACGAAAGCTCTTCTCAACCGGTCACATCCGTATTTAACATTTTTCAGTTCCATGCCAACTCTGTCTGAGGGGTTGGGGTCACGCTGGGAGGGGAGAGGGAAGGAGCAGAGCTGGGAAACACTCAGCTCCGGGCCAGACCCACAGAGATTGCGACGACGAGCAGCTTGACATGGAACTGAGCGATTTCCGTGGTGTGGTGGTGGGTGTGTTTAACCCAGCATGCCCTTAACACTGTTGTCTTGAGTTAAGGACCGAGCGGCTTAAGAAGACAACAGTGTTTCTCTTTGGCGAGGAGTGTTCTATACGAATGCTTCTAATAAAAGTGCAAACTGTCATCAGCTCAACCGTTATTTTGCGCTGTCGAGTTAATTGCTGTGTTACCTTCCTGGAGCCAATCTTCAAAGCAGCTTGGAATTTGGTGAGCAAGAGGCGAGGGCGGCCCTCTCCTGTCCTTTCTTCTCCGTGTCTAACCTCCTCTCGTAGCCTTGGCCTCACCCCTCTCGCTCTGTTGGCTAACGTGCCTGGGAGTTTTGAACGCTGAGTTGACTTGCTCTTCATTCTCCATCCCATTTTTTTACTTAACCATCATTTTGTGTTTTGTTTCTGTTTTTTGTTTTGTTTTTTTTTTTTCTTCTGTTTAGCCCTAAAGAAGAATAATATCACTAAATTTCCAAATGTTCACTCGAGGGTAAGGATTTCTTCTAGCACACCGGTGGTGGAGGATACACAGAGCTGGCAAGCATCACTTTTTACTTAGCTTCCTCCTCTCTCTGTATGCCAGACAGCCTCTTGGTAGATGTGCCTGAGCGTAATACTGGTGAGAGCCCGACGGCCAGCGGAGACTTTTTGCCCGCTGCGGTGCCGGGGAGCCTAGCCACGGGCCATTGGCTGGTGACCGTCTCCACACTCTCTCTGGTTTGGCCCTCTCTCTTCCGAGTTGAGCCCGAGATAGTCAATCTTGTCCCCGGGTTGTTTCAGGCCCGTAGTTCCCTGGATATTCTGCCGTCACGGCCATTAAACGGGACACGAGAGGTGGACAACCAGCAGCTCAGAGGTGGGAGAAGCACGGGATGTTGGGGGCTGGAAGGGACCTCAAAAGACCATCTAGTCCAACCCCTCTGCCAGAGCAGGATCACCCAGATTACGTCCCACGGGCACCTTCTGCTGGGGTGCACCAAGAGCTGAGAAGTTTGGGAGTTGTGTTTAAACCAAGACTTAAGTCAGCCAGGAAATTTGAGGTGAGTTTTGCCCAGTTTGTTTTTCCAGGAGAGAAATAGTTGAACACCAATTAGTCTCCAGGTGTATGGAGCGTGCTGCTCGTAGCCCCACGTGGATGAGCAGCGGGTTTCCATCAGCGCGGCCCGGCTCCAGCTTTGTCCATGGTTTGGTCCGTGGAGACCCTGGAAAGCAGCCAGAGCTGTCGCATCCTCCTGGAGATCAGCTGCTTTCCAAAGATTTAGTGACTATTTAAGAGGATAAAATTGCACAATCGCACAGTGCATTGCATTCTAGAGAACCCCAAGCCCGACTTTGGTTATTTTTAAAGAAAATAAGCCATTTTTGAACTACGGAAGCTCTGCTTCTTCCAACCAGTTAAACAAGTAATTATATTATATTAATTATACTCCAGCAACCTAAAATCAACCAAGGCATTTGAACAACAAAATGGTTAAAGGAAAACAACCTTTGCCTGAAATCTCATATGCCAGTGATTTAGCCTAAATCCTGCTCTATAAATCTTGGCGGAGAAGTGCTGAAGTTGCACGCTCTGTGTCCCACCTTGCCCCACCCGAACTCTCGCCGCCCCAGCCGCAGAGCAGGTGAGGAGGAGGAGGAGGAGGAAGGAGGGGGTTGACCACTCAGCTGCCTTCAGCTCATGGAGCATCCCTGAAGCCAGGACAGCAGCTGGAGCCCGGCAAGCCAGTCACATTTTTTTCCCCTGAGGACACCCTCTTTTAGATAAATGGGTGCAGAGAGGGGTGAGGGGGTTGTTCCCTGGGTCACCCATCACTCCCCGATTTAGAAACCTCCTTGAGCTCAGGCCAGCGTTCGAGGGACTGTGCAAACCAAACCGATCTGTGGTCGACGTCGCCAATGTCAATGAGCACGAGCAGCCCCCAGGCGGGGAGAGGTTCACGCTAACTTAACTCCATTTCAGTCCCATCGGCGCGTTTCACCAGTATTACCGGCCGCTTGGGTGCGTAGTTTAAAAAAAATAAAATAAAAAAATAAATAAAGGGCACGTTGGTATTTGCTCCCTCTCGCTCTCGTTGGGGTGAAGTTCCCTTCTCCTGTTCCTACACAAGCTGCTTTGATTGGCTTCCAGCAGGACTTTTCCTTGTCTCAGCCGCGTGAGCGTGTGTGGGTGGGTGTGCGGGCGCGTGTTGGCGTGCGCGCGGGTGAGCCGGCCGCCTTGACGAACGCCGCTTTTCCTCTCCGCAGATCTTAGAACCCAGCCGTACCGACGGGCCGACGCGGTGAGGAGAAGCGTCCGGCGGCGCTTCGATGATCAGAACTTGCGCTCCGCCAACGGGGCTGAAATAACCATGTGAGCTGGAGCCCGGCGGCGCCCGGGAAAGGGGGTTGCTTGAACGAGACCTTGTCCATGTGAACTCTGTGCTCTGCCGCTCGTTTTCACAGCCTTGGGGGGGGACACACACATAAATTTGACCTTCCAAGGGGCTCAAAGACCCAGAAAACTCGCACATAGGAACGCCAGCGATGGGCCCGCCACTCGACCGTAGCTACCAAGTGCCTAAAATCAAAGTACCTGCTCAAATTAATGGAAGCAATAGGACTTGATTTGATTGGGTATATTTATACACCAATACATTATTCAGTATATTTAACCAAAATGTAAAATACGTGTTGGGTTTATTATTTTTTTCCGTTTGTTTGTTTGATTTTTTTATTTTTTTCCGGGGAGTGTTTTGATTGGTTTGATGCTCTAAAGGTTTAGTGACTGGGTCTCCTGTGGCCCTGACCCGCATCCCGGCTGGTTGTGAACAGGTACCGCTCGGACGTGCTCTGCTTTTAAATGCATTCCCGTGCTGAAGCCTCGGCTTCAGGTGCACTTACTGGCTATTTTATTTTAAATTTTTTAAAATTTTTTATTAAAAAAGGAAGACATTTAAGGGCTTTCTATGTGTAATACGGAAATGACTCCAAGGAGGGACACCCTGCCCCCTGCCCCATAGCTTTTCTGCGCCCCAGACCTCAACTGTGGCATCACGAGCTGTGGCATCGCGTGGGTCCACGAGACACGCAGGGAACCCTCGCAGGGAACCCTCAAGGCTCAATGCCAGGCGAGGCACGGCGGGCGGCAGGGGCAGGGGCAAATGCACAGAAGGAGGAGGGTGGCAAAGGCCTGTACTACATTCTTCAGCTCGAGGCAGCTTTTGAATAACCCGTGTATTTATTAATTAGCACTAAGGCATTAACATCTTGGTAATCAGGACTCGGAGGAGCGCCGCAGCTCAGTTCCTCGCGCAGAGAATCGTCCCGTGCCCTGCCGGGCAGGATCCACACCCCGCTCCAGCTCCTAACGGGGCCCCAGGCCGGCCAAGGGAAGCCCGGCCAAAAAATCCCAGTAGGGTCTAGGTTCTACATTGTACCTAAAGCTTAAAAAAAGGGCCATGAGACTTCCTTCGGCGCCGTTCCGCGCCCCGCGGCGGCCCAGGACCAGTGCCGGCAGGGTTACGCGATCTTCTCCGGAGTGAAGAACTGGACTGAATGAGAAAATCCTACTTTCCAAGATGCATTTTTGCTTACAGCTCACCTTTCCTGGGCTCAGCGCATCCATACGTTAATTGTAAAATTTATTGTATAGTATTTAACCACTGAATTTCTTTTTTCTTTTATGTTGTGCTTATGTGAACCACTGGTGAAGGTGTCCCCCTCTCCCCCTTTTTTTTTTCTTGGATAATGTGTAGTTATATGATAATCTGTTTTTAAATGTACAGATATTTTGCTACAAAATTGGTGCAGTTTTTTATGGTTTTTACACTTCTCTTTTATCCCCACTTTAGCCCATGGGTAATATTGTAAATATTGTTTAAAAAATACCCCACAAACAAACAACAAAATACAAGAAACGCATCAGCCTGTGCTATACAATCTGAATGTTATTTTAACTTATAGTTTTTGGGTTTATATTTAACTAAATGGACAGTTTGGGGGCTCAGAGTGGCCCCGTTGACCTCTGCTTACCCAGTTACAGGACATTTCCTCTCAAAACTGCCGCCTTCCCGCAGCGACACGCTAAAGAGAACATGCCGCCGCCCCTCCTGCTTCCGGGAGAGGATTGGGTTTAATCTGTGTGAGAAAAATTGGGTGATTAATTTAGGGATTTGTTAGGCAAAATGATTTAAAAAGCACTCTCTCTCGCCTCCTTGAGCTCAGAGGTATTTTATTAATTGGAGACTTTCTTTCAATTGGCGATCGTGCGACTTGCCCGTGATGCTGGCATGTTCTCTTTAAGAATTTTTCTGGTAATAGACTTGCTTCTTAGCAATATTAGAAGTGTTTTATAAAAGCAGTTCATGTTACTTTCCTGGTCTGTTCCTGGCATAAAAATCAAATAAACTATTTACACTACTACACACTAATCCATAGGTCAGTTGTTTTGGTTTTGGTTTGTTTGTTTTTGTTTTTTTTTTCCCTTCTTTTTTAAATTTTTCCCCAGCTGGTGCTGTTTGCAGGCAAACAACTAGAGCTTTCAGCAGAGCTGTGTTTTGTTTCATTTCCTTTCATTTTTGTTTTATTTAATTTAGTTTTATTGGTTTCTTATTTCATTTTCACTTTTAAATTATTTATTTATTTATTTATTTTGTTTAATTTCCATTCCATTTAATTTCATGCCATTTAAAGCCACTTTGCTCCTGTACCTCTGGCCGCTCAGTGACTGCAACCACACCCTGGTGCACTTTTTAAATGTGTTTTTTTTTTTTTAATGGTTTGTTTTTCCCCC